GCTGGGGGGGCCACGCCGGTGCTCAGCCGCTGTGCGCACCCAAGCCCAGCACCGAGAAGGCTGCGCGGTGCTTCCTCAGCAGCAGCCGGATCTTCTCGTCATCCGAGTCAGGGTCCAGGGGCTTGTTGTACTCGTCATCCTCGGTCTCGGAGGCCGCCCGCTCTCCGCCAGAGCCCCCCGCCCGCTGTGAGGCTGAGGCCCGCCCGCTGTGAGGATGAGGAGGGCTCCAGGGCGCTCTTCTTCCTCCATTTGGTCCGTCGGTTCTGGAACCAGACCTGCAGCCCCACGGGACCGGCTCAGTTAGCAGCCACCACGCCACGCGCCCCGTGGGGACCCGCACTCACCTTCACCTGGGACTCGGTCATGCCAAGGGAATAGGCCAGCCGCGCTCGCTCTGGACCCGCCAGGTACTTGGTCTGCTCGAACGTCTTCTCCAGCGCGAAGATCTGGTGCCCCGTGAAGGTTGGGCGCGTGTGCTTCTTCTTGTGGATGCTGTCGGCCAGGTGAGCAGGGGCTGCAGGAGAGGAGGGAGGTGAGTGAGCACCTGGACTCCTGCAACGCACGGCTCTGGGCAGCTCTCCCCTTCCTGAGCACGGCACCAGCACAGCCACCAGCCCCCAGTGTCGAAACAGCCTCTCCATGCCCACTTCCCTCCCAGTTAAAATCGTACTCAGAGGGCTGAGCTGCGCTCTGTGCGGCCCCGCAGAGCAGAGCCAGGCTGTGCCCCTCCTGCTCGAGGCAGCACAGTTGTCCTGTTGGGAGGGAAGGGTTGCCAACAGCAGTGCATGGCCCCAGAGCCATGCAGCACCACAAGCATCGTGTCCCCATGCCCCACACCTTGTTGGATGCATGACGGGAAGGCAGGCAGAGCCGGTCGACTCGTAGCTGTGCCGCGAGCGGATGGCCGAGCTGCCAGACCCGTCTGCTCCAAGAACATCAGCTCTTGGGAAAGGGACCGCAGCTGCAGGTGCTGAGCCACTGCACCCAGCCCCTGGCCCAGAGCTTACCGGGCTCTCCATGGGACAGGGGATGCACCCATCCCACCCAGCCCACATGCTCTGCACTCCCCCTGCCAGCTCTCCACCAGACAGGCAATGCTGCCAGCCCAGGGCCGCCCATCCTGCCCATCTCTGCCCCAA